AAATACTATGGATCTCGGTTGAATGCATGATGACATTTTATAGATGTAAAAGAGCCATCCTAAAAGGACACTCTCTGTTTTGGACAGTAGCTCAGCCGTGTGGAAATTGACTTCTGGGCGACCCCTTAAGATTTCAGTCCTTTCGCTTTTTTCTCTCACTTTTGACAGAAAGAGCAGTGGCTTTGTACGGTTTCTGAATGCTATGGAAATGTCTCCCCATGATCTCTTTCACTGGAATGGCGATGAGTTTTTTTGGCAGGTCGCATACATATATTTGTGTCTGATACTGTGGGAGAAAGATCGTCTCCTCCGTGCTCTTAGTGATGGTGCTGATGTTGCCTCACCCCAGGATGGCTTGGTCCGTTTGTTCACTACTTTCGTTTGCGATTGAGGTGAGCCAGGCGGAACTAAGCAGCCCGAACCATCGGCAAACACGGAGGGTTATCGACCGCTGGATGGCTTTGCCCTCGCAGGACACGTCGGTGTTCCGGCTTTAACACAGAGACTGTGGTTGCTATGGCGCCGATGTCACAACTGCAGTAGACCAGACAGAAATCCTGTCAATCACTTCTTTGTGTTCCAAGCAGAAGGTGGAAGGAAGATGGATGAAAATCAAGCCAGTCTGAATGAATACATCTTAAAATTAAGTGCTATATTTCTATTTTCTATATTGACCTTGTTGGGCACTGTGCCCTACAGAATAATGTATAACTCTATATGCCAATAAATATTTATCTGTGACCCTGTGGGTGCAGCCAAGGCCTTGAAATAGTAATTAAGTTTGGGTCTGCTTTGACATGTGTAATGAAAGGATGACTTTGAGAATTAATATTTGATACACATAAAGGAAGAATTTTTGTGAATAATAGAGAGTTATCCTTTTGACCTGACCATCGGTTTCTGCAGGGTTGAAAGAGGCTGTGAAGAATGTGGAACAATATGACACAAAAAAGCAATTATTTTTAATTTCTGAGAGTCTGTGGGCCTTTGCCCTGTAAGTGTGGGATTATTGAAGATCTAATGCATGTCCTTTTGTTTGATGGGTCTGATGTCCATCTTAGCAGAGTCGAATGGGCACTTTGAAGACGCCCATTTGAATGGTAGCCATTGAGGCTTCCTTCGCCTGACGGTTCCGTCCTTTTGGTGCCGTTGGCAGCTGTTCCGGTTTTTTCCTGTGTATGTTTTTCAGACTTTTTATGTTTTTTCAGAGAAAAGGGGATTTATGAGTATATGTTCCTGAAGTTGTCCCCACAGGGTGCTTCCAGTCAAGTGTGATTAGAAATGACTCTGATGAAACTGACCACTAGGGGGGACGCCCCCCCCCCACCCCCACCCCAGGGACACAGGTCTGCACACATATAGTTTACTCAGTGCTTGACCTCCTACGCTAAGGGTAGCATTGATGCTGCTGAACCCAGAGCCACCATGATGTTTTATTCCCCTTTTTTTTTGGGGGGGGGGGGGGGCATCTTTCCCCTTGTCCCGGGCCTTCTTTTATCTCTGCAGTGAGACTTAGTTGAAAAGACTGCCAAGTGGGCCCCTCCCCCCCACCCTGCCCTCAATGGGGATAGACTGGGGATGAAAGCCTTCATGGCCAATTGCAAATGCACCCCCCCCTGCTGCTAGGGCCTCCCCCTTTAGCCCTGCGGAGTGGCACACGGCTGCGGGGGCTTTCCCCTCTCTGACCCAAAGCCAGAGCTCCATTCATTCAAACTGCACTGAGCCCCCGTCTGTGCGGAGGGGGCCACAGAGGCCGCGGCCCCTAACTTTCAATTAGTGCTCCCCTTATTGTGCTGCCCCCGCTTTTAAGGCCTGGGCCGGCTGGTGGGGGGCGGGGCGGGGCAGGAGCATTGCAGCACAAAGCTTCAATCAGCAGCACATACAGTTTCCCTGTTCGGTGGTGTAAACATGCCAGGAGGAAAGGGTGACTTAAGAGAGCCATTGATGCCTTTGATTGACTTAATCTTTCTTCAGGGAAAGGAAGTTTGCTGCTGTTTTCCATACTCCAGGGATGACCCCCCCCTCCCCAGGAAGTGAAGGGAGGGAGACAAAAAAACTCCCACAGCAAATCCTGTGATGGCTACTTCTGTCCTCTGCTTGGGGAGGAAATGGTTCTGTGCTTTATAATGCAGGTTTGGGTGCCATCAGTTTGGGGCACATTATGAAAGCAGCACATGTTGCTAATCAATCAGTCAGTCATTCAGTGTTCTCCAGCTAATAGTAGATAGGACATGTAGGTCCTGTGCAGTCAGATGGAGCGGAGCGGAGACATATCAGCCCTGGTTTATGTCGCGTGTCTGACATGTGCGTTCTGCTGGCCTTTAGCTTCTCAGTGGGCTCTGTGGAATCTCTGTGTGTCACTATGCTGTGCTGTCGCGGTGTGTAAATGAGGTGATCAATGTCAACTTGCAGGCTCAGCAAACTGGGCACCAGGCTCTGTCTGACAGTTGGGTTCATTTTCATTACTTTCCCATAATCCCTTCGTCCACCTTACTGAAGCGGGGCCGTCACCTTCCTATGGCCCATTTCTCCCAGTGTCTGTAAACAAGGTGATGTTTTTTTTCGATGATGAGAGGTCTATGATACTGCTGTGAAGGATGAATGCTGTACTGCAGCAGTGTCCATTGCAGTCCTAGATTGTGGTGTACAGTGAACCCCCTCATATCGCATCGGAAAATACGTTTCAGACCCATCAGCGATAGGTGAAAATCCGTGATATAGAAAGAACATATAAATAAACTTTTTTTTATCGTTTAAGCCTTAAAATACCCTTCCCACACGCTTTAAACACATGAAAACTTATTAAAACAACACATATGATATGTGGATGTTGAGCTAAGGATATGAGTAACATAAAAATAATAATAATATGTAATGGTCAAAGTCTTCCTCTGGTGCTTAGGCCCACTACTACCAGAAGGTTTAGAAGATGCAGGACACTTGGGAGCCATCGTAGGGCTCAAAACAAAAGGAAAACAATCGGACCACAAGCAAGGTACGCGATACACAGAGAACTGTGACGGGTCGGGGGAAAATCCGCGAAATGGCGGGGGGCGCGATAGCTGAACCACTGTATAGCAGGGGATCACTGTACACCATCCTGTAGACTGTGGTGTTCACCATCTTAAACTGCATTTTATGTGCAGATATTACCTTTAGCTCTGCTCCTTTTGAATGCAACATTCACGTGATCATTTTTTGGCTTTGAAGAATTATTTGACTCAGTCTCTAAATAAGGCTTTCTGTGATAATGCAGATGTGGGCCGCATAACGTTTCGGTCAGTGATGGACCGCATATCGCATAAGATTTTAATGGAGCTGATTTTTGTTATTTAGACTTTTGTAGACTTTTAAACTTTTGTTATTTAGACTATGCCATATAGCCTAGCTGTATAATAGGCCAACCTAGTTGGTATAGCCTAAGTACACTCTATAACTTTTGCACAATGAAATCGCCTAACGACGCATTTCTCTGAGCATAATATTGTCGTTAAACGAAGCGTGACTGTAGTGCATTTGCAGTTAATTAAATTGGGTCTTATAAATGGATGCTTCTGACTCAACAAGATTGAATCTTTGCACAACTAGTGTGAAATAAAGCTGTCGATCTTCCAAGAACTAAACCATAACAGGTTAACGGTGGGAGTGGGGGCGAGGGCAAGGGGGTTGGATGGGCTGTAAATCATTTTTGCTTGTTACTAGTATTTCCTGGGCTGTGGCAAGAACGGCCCTCCAACAATTGCTGTGTTTCCTGAGCTAATTATTCACCTGGCATTTGCAGTAATGTTTTCCACTCGTGGTGGATCACTATAAACAAGCCTGTTGTTTTGCAGCAATCATGGAAAGTATTTGTAATGTAACCTCCACAGATTCAGGAGATGCGGGGCCCAAGGGTCTGTCCTGAGCAGCCAAATCATTTATTATTAATATTGTTCTTAACAATAACAGTTGTGATGACAATGGCAGTGACGATTTGGGAGTTTGGATGGCATGTCCCTGAAGGTGTATGACACAAACAGAATTCCCCTCTCTCTCTCTTTCTCTCTCTCTCAGATCTCCACTATGTTTTCTGATATCCACCCTGTCAAACCGGTTATTATTCCTGGGAAATAATGAAAAATGCTTATCAACGCACCAACAGAAAATATATTGTTCTTCCGATTTATCGTCATTATTTATGACCACCTTTAATTGACGTGCACATTGGTGTCGGTGGCCCCTTGACACTGGGTTTATAGAGCAGTCGGGAGGTCCCGGGTGTAAACGTCTCTTTCTATATGTGTGGACGGGGAGAGCTACTGCTGTAAAGCATGAAACGACCCATTAGCTTCCAGATCAGAATGTCACTTAAAGGGCCGGTCAGCCTTTTTCGCCCTTTAGAAACACCTCTCTGGGTTTTTTTTCTACCCGTCTCTCCAGGTTGTTAATTTTGTTGGTTTGTTTTTCAAAATTATATGTTTAAATACATTTCGTGAAAATACTTGGTAGACAAAGTCAGATTTTAAGGGATGTTCATAATTTAGATTTAGAGCCTTATTCCACCAGACGCTCACCCTACCACACTACCAAGACCTGACATTATGACTGTTTAATCAGAGCTCCAGGCTATTGCTGCTACTTTGAACTTTCTTTTGTTTAACCAATTTAATGCTAAATAGGCATTATTCTCGATGCCTGCTGGGTCAAGATGTCGAAGCCCTGAAATTAAAGGATCCTTTATGACGAAACCCCCGTTGAATGGCTTCTGGTGAAGCCGTTTGCTGTGGAGATTCTGGTGTTCATGGCTCTGTCTCCTCTTCTGCTGTGGGCTCTGCTATGAAGGATAATCTATGTGTCCAGACTGTATAATCACATTATGAACGTCACTATTTATATCTGTTACATATACTTTGGATTTTCTTTTCGTTTTTGAGACTTCTCACTGTCTCGGCCTACTTTTCTATGTCCTTAGCACTTCAGGATCGCTAAACTGACTCTGGAATCTCTCTGCTCTCTCGTAGGCTTACATCTGCAGGACGACATTTCCAGCGACACAGATGACTTTTTCCAGGACAGGAAAGGAGGTGAATGTTTTACTGCAGGACCGCATCCCTTATTTACTGTGCTCAGAGGCATACAGATCATTCTGGAATATTCTGGTTCAGATATTTATTTCTCTTTCTTTGCTTTCCTGTTAAGATTTAGCATCATCCACCCCTCGGTTAACAATGTATTTCGGATCCAAGAACAGCAAAGATTGAGGACAATTCTCCTGGTGTTATACCTTTGGGGGAGGGGAGGGGAGGTGGGGGGCGCTTAACTTACCAGGCCAAACTCCCCAGCAGCTGGGGGAGTGAAACTGCTCCCCGGTTTGATGGGAGATCCATCTGTCAGGCCTTGTTCTCAGCCAGGAGAAAACCTCAGAGTGCTTGCAGGTGTCCCGAGAGAGCGGAAGGGGAGGGGGGCAGGGGGGCACGTCCTCCTGTATGGGCCTGCTGGACCCAAGCCCGGCCCGGCCAGCCAGAGTGAGGTGTTCCTTATTAGCAGGGGGCCCAGGAAATCCTGGACGATCCCAGGTGTCTCCCAAACATCTCACTGCTCGTCATGGCTTTCATCTCTATCTGCATCTCCTGTGTGATCGAGCTGGGCCTGGGTCACATGATTAGCCCAGGCTTGAAGGTTCTGCCCCGGATCTGGTTCGACATGTTAGCCACGTACTGTGTCTGCTGCTGCTGTGTTATTAATTCCCCCTCTTTTGTAACATAACACGCTTAGACCAGCAGGGTGCCCACGGCATCACCAGCGTTCTGGCCATTCTTTCTTTATTAAATGTAATTACTTCTTTTGTATGTTGCTTATTTGTATCAGAGAGTGGAAGCCTTCCTGGTTGAGGTAGTATCACCAAGCAGTAGGAATTAGTTGTGTTTTCTGCGTTACTTAATCTAAATGAAGATAATGTTTCTCAACAACAGTAACGATTATGAAATTATACATGGCTGAAATAGT